GAGAGAGAGAGAGAGAGAGAGATGTTAGAAGCAGGTGCAATGCTTTGTCAAATTCTAGTTGGTAGTTGTTCTGACGCGTTTGAGCTCTCAGAGCTGTCCTGAGGAGAGACAGGTCTGACCACTTCTCAGTTACTTCTATTAAAAGTACATCCTCTCCCGGCAGTCCGATCGACTTTAATTACTGCTCTTTGTTACTTGTTTTCTAGTTAACTAGTTCATAAGGCTTTTGTCACCCTGCTCCTGCCCTTCTCCCAATGCTGTAGGCTAAACTGGTTTAGAGTTCCTCCTTGGTGCTTCTGTGTCCCACTGTGGGCTTCATCTTCATTCCAGATCACTGCCTAGATCCTCAATAATGCTGTCATATAAAACAGCCCTTACTTAGTACACTTCAGTGGGGAAGGAATATTCCACAGGTTGGCATGAAGCTGGCGTCGGTGCCTGCACACATTCCCATCTGTGGGTCCTGTTTAAAGCCAGTTCTGTGTGAAGCTCTGCTCAGTGAGATGGTTTTCAGACCCTCTGTTTACCCAGTCTTTTTATGGAATCCTAATGAAATGTCAGTTTTGTAAAATCTTGCATTCTACACCAATGTCACAGAAATCATATTCATGAGCGGTCTCTATTTAACAAAAGTGAACTTACCAGAACATCCGTGGTTTATTGTCATTCTGGGTTGAAGTGGACAAGGGTTCAGGGAGGAGCCAGCAGGTGTGCCTGGGCTACAACTGTGTACCTAGCATCGCATTTGTGAAGAAGTATCACTGAACACATTAGAAATAACTGTTTCAACTATCTCTTCAGTACCACAATACCCTTTTAGTCTTCATCTCTGTGTACAATGTCATATTTCTTTGAGAAAATAGAAACACAGTCACGTCTTGCAAGTAACAACTTTTAGCTGACACTGGGCCAGCCACAAGTGTGTTTTCAAGAGTTGCCCTTTTTCCATGATTTTGATAATCATACAACTTGACTCAAATCCCAAACCTCATTTACCTGACATTGAAAGATTAGTATGCAACATAACAAGGTTTGCAAACTAGACGCCTTGAGATTGCCTTGCTGCTAGTCCCACCTGCGGCAGTATCCAGGCACCAGCTATAAATGAAGAGGAGTGATGTAGCTCCGTGTTGGCCCAGCAGTCTGTCTGGTACAAACAGGGAAGTTGTTCTTGTTTGTAAAAGTTAGAAAGAACATTAATTACATCCTTCTTATGAAGCACTATGGTATTTTATTTTGCTTGATAAGCATAAACTTTAAATTTCATTTGCCCAATCTTTTTATGCATTTTATTTCTGAAGCGCTGGTTCCGTATCACAGAGAAACCAAGCACATTTTTCCAAGACACAAAGCTTGGATTCTGCCCCTGATGCTTCTCTTTTAATTGGTTTGCAAATCACCTCAGCTGTTGTACCCTCAGCAAACTTAGACCCACAGTCGTAGAATTAGAGAGTAGATGGTTGGTTGGTACTGGTGAGCCTTCGCCAGATTATTTTCTTTTCCTTTGGACTCATTACTAAATTAGAGATGTGTTTGTCTTGATAGAGTTACAGATCTTGCTTTCATCTCTCTTGGACCACTGACCCGGTTTTGCTTCCAGGATCAGAAGTGTCTAGGGACTGGCCAATAGGACCGCTGCCGCGGCAGTGCTGGGAGGGGGAGGGGCTGTCCGAGGACTCCTGTTCGTGGGCCTGATGCCAGCTAGTTGTGCGCTGACCTGCTCATCCTCACATAATCACAGATAACGTGCATCCACTGGTCTCTAGGCATTCCCATGGGGTTCACACGTGTAGCCACATCTGCAAAGTGTTGTGGATGTTGGTACTATTTCAAGTGGACAAACACAGTTCTCCCGTCTTGCCAAACAATCCAGAATAGTTGGATAGCCCATGAGGAAATATATTTTTGTTCCATAATCAAGTTTTGTTAATTTCCTTACAAATCTGATATTTCTTTGAGTATCTTTCTTTCATAAGAATGAAATCTTTTCCTTGTGTGAATTATGACTATGTATCAGAGTAGGTTCGTATGTGTGTGTTCTGTGAAACTTCTCATAATATAATAATCACAAAGAGGCTGGGGAGTATGTGCTCAAACTGTGAAACTCTGATAGATACTTATTGAATTTAGTTATTTTTAAAAGTTAGTTTTATCATGCAGTTGTAATAGCAATGTCTCAAGATAGTATTTGTTGTTGCTATTGTTATATTAAATCTTATGTATTAAAGTATATTATTTTTATGCAGAGAACTTATAGGTCATTGGGTTGCAACTGCTGTATATAATTGCATATTTTCCTAATGATGGTCAGGCTAAACATTAAGTAGAAGTTAAATGGTCAGCATGTATCACATGGTCTGCTAATGTCTTAGTTTAAAGTATTCTGCAATATTGAATTTTGAAATCCATTAAAGGTGACAAAGGTTGCCAGGTGCATCTCCATCTACTTTTGTGGTGTGTTTGGACCACGGACAAATATTGACTCAGGTCTGTCAGCAGGAGTTGGCACAGTGAGGGGTATTTTCCTGTTGCCAGGCACATTGCCTGCCATGTTGGACAGCGGGGATGCCCACTCGGGGTTGGACAATTTATGAAGGAATTGCTGTCCGATATAATTAAGATAAAGAAAAATCACTATGTAGTCTGATTTTTAATGATTATAAAAAACATTTAAGCATGAATTTTGAGTTTTTTTTTATTTTAAAATTAAGACGTGTCTTCACCTTTCCAGAGTCTATTGTCTCTTGGTGTGTTTTATTGAGGGAATGTACTATTCTGGATCCAATAGTCAACTGTGTCTATTGAAAGGTAGACTCTAACTATGAGGATATCTGTGAAAGCTACCATTGTGTAAGAATCACTTCTTGTATGACCTATAATTGCTATTTTCTAACTCATGCCATCTCACCTTTGAGTCTATTATCAGTTGGAATATTTGATGGGACTAAAAAATAAAATGATTCATAAGTAAGGCTGCTGGTAACAGGGGCACAGTAAGGGTGTCATGTTTCTGAGGGTCATGCAGGTAATGTAATGAGAAATGTGTGCATTCACTAAGAACATACAAAGCCCTCGGATGTCTGAAAGAATGCAAAATTCTGAATTTAAAAAGTATTCTAAACAATGATTTTGAATTTGGAGACAATAGATGGGAAGATGTACTGCAGACATAGTTCCTGACCACCGGTGGCTACTGAAGTGGGCCCCATAAAAGTATAAGCTGGTAAACAAACATAACCCACTAGACATGGCATTCAACAGTAACCACACACACACAAAATGATATGGGGCATGCCTCCAGTAACTAGCCAAGGAAGACTCTTAGAATTTTACTGGTGAGCTAACAAGTTCCTAAGAATTCCAGTATTCTCAAATCTGGAGAGTAGCAAACTGAGTGATAATCTCAGCATTTTAGGGTATCCTTCTTCTCCCACATGAACAAGGCATAGGAGAAGAAATTATGCAAGCAAAGCTGGTGAACTGGGGAAGGACTCCTGCCTGGCCGCTCTAGAGAGGCACAGGCCTTCAAGTAATGCCCTAGATGAGCTTCTTAACAGGGAGTTCCTGCCCAACTGATCTTAGGGTTGCACCAAAAAGAAAAATTTCAAATTTTTGAGCCAATGATATGGTCTAAAGAATACTTCCTGGAAACTGTACACCTTGGTAAGAGCATAAATTCCACAAAACAATACCTCAAAGATGAGATTGGTTAAACTATAGAATGAGATGGAAAGGGAGATTTGTGTCCTAGTGAGATCACCTGAGAATGACAAACGCATGATAATTATAGAACAAAATTCACCATTAATGCAAGAAATTGACAGAGGAAAGGTTTGCAAAAGGGAAGTGGGCTAATGTACGTAGAGAAACGTTAACACGGTTGAATGACAAACAGGGTCAACAATTGAAATGGCTGTTTGCGCCCCAGAAGTTAATATTTCAAAACTGTGTGTTATGTATATGTATATATTGCAAAAATGAAGCAAGAAAAGATCATTGAAAAAAATAATAAAAATACTGCAGGTTGAAAGAGTTCCTCATCTTTTGGGAAATTTGATGCAACTGCTTTAGAAAGTCTCATTGGGCTATTGAACCAGAAACAGTTCTTCAGGGTTTTAGATAGGCAACTACAGGCTAAGGTCGCAGCTGGGAAGAAAGAACTCAGTGGGACTCAGGGAATCATATCAAACTGACCCAATATTCGATATTAGAAAGCAAAGAAGAAACTGGGTGTAGGGGCATGCATGCACCTTTAATTTCGGCACTTGGAGGCAGCGGCAGACAGATCTCTGTGAGTTCATACCAGCCTGGTCTTCACAGTTAGTTCCAGGACAGCCAG